GCCACCTTAGGTGTATGTGGCTGGCGCCTTAGCCGCTTGAGCCACAGGCGCTGGGCCAAGTATTTTTCTACTGTGCAAATATTTTGAGGTCAGAATAATTGCCATTATTGTTTTTGGTGTGGTCCAGAGGGCATAGTTTTTCACTTCCACTGAGTGAACATTTCCATTGAACACACAGTGGCACCGTTTCTCCTACAGACATGCCCTTATGACAAAGTTCCATGTTGACACCTGCACCACCTATCAGCTTGGGCAGCCCCAAGAGCTACTGTGGGATGTGCCATGGCTCAAGCCTGGGATTGACACAGGGCAGAGATAGGCATTTGGGCAGGACAGCTACTACCCTGGCCTCCTACCTACCTATAGCTGAGAATGTCTCATGGTAAGTGTGTAAGGATCCCTCCCAGGCCTTGGGAAGTGCAGATTACCAGGCCTCCCAGACAGGCCCCAAGCCCACCACTCGTTTTATCCAGTCCCATCCATCCCTGCTCTGGGTACCCATATGTGTCACCCATTAGCAGAGGGCCACCCTCACATCTACCAGGCACACCCTGACTGCAGACAGGAAGCAAGGCCACACTCCTCACCTGCTGGAGACTCATCTCCTGATCAGAGATTCTGAGCAACTAAACCTGGGAGGTGGCAGACTGGGGAATCCAGAGGTCTATAGAAGCTGGCAGTTAAATCTCAGTGTTAGGCAGGCAGCATATGAAACCAGACAAACATTTATTTAGAACTTCAGTGGTTCAAAGGTCTAAGGGCCTCTCTTTGGGCTCCTCTCTGCAGCAAGTGAACCTGGCTGAGTCTGCCCTGCACCCAGACAGGGTCAGAGCCATAGCAGACTCTGAAAACCATAGGCACAGTCTCACTGGCATCAGACACTGTTTGGGCTGATTTCTGAGGTACCTCTCCTGCTTCTTAGGACAGCAAAGATATAGCACTCTGGTGAGTAGCTACTGGCTCAGGATCATAGGACCAGAGCAGAAACACCAGCCCCACCTGGTGCAGGATCCTGCCAGTTTCCTCTGGGCAGCATGTGAGAATGGGCTCCCTGCATTTTTTTTAATCATCCAGATCTAGATCTAGCTTCAAAGGGCTCTGGAATGTCCTTGCCACATATGGAGCTGAAAATAAGAGTTGATTTTTAAGAGCCAGATTCTTGTCGCACTTGGACAGAATGAATAATATGTTTCATATTTTCTTTGTATTTCTCTTCAATAGTTGATTGACCCAACATCTTTCTGTCTGCTCTATACAATGAAAATACAAACTAAATGAGAATAGAAAAAATAATTAAAGCATTGAATTGTACAAATTACAAATCTGTTCCAAAATATACTTACATTAAATAAAATACGCATTTCATTAAGAGATCTACAGTGGATGACTCTTTGCATTCTGGAAAGCTTCACGACACCTAGGCAGGGCCAACATTTGTGGAAGAAGCTAAGAGAATTTGCATCCAATCACAGTTTGTAGCGGGTTTCTTATTGCCAATCTGCAAGTTACACTGAACACATCATTAGCGTCACTTGTGCAGGAAACCAATTTTGTTTGGGGAAAGGGTAAGCAAGCTCTAGCCTCAATTTTGAGTTCATTACAACTTCTCAAGAATTTCACCAACAACCTATACAGTACAATTTCAAAAAAGTAAACATGTTAAGGTAAGCAGACAACTCTTTAGAAGCCCAGACACGTGTTCTTGCTGGGTTTACGTTGAACTCTCCATCTACAATGGGCAGTCATGAAGATGATCTCCTTTGGACAACGCGGTCACAGGGCCAGGACGATCCAGAGGGGCTGAGGGAGCGTGAGGATGGGGAGCAGAGGGGCCACCTCTTGCTGCTTCATGTTGGAGACAAGCTGCGTCCAGTCCGTGGGCCTGCACGCGTCCCCTTCATCATCTGGCATAGCGCTTGATGTAGTCGTCCACTTTGTTCCGGAAGTC